TAGGGTGCAATTAAATTGGCTGTGCCTGAGTTTGTTTGACTTCACCAAATAATCTGTAGCAGTTTTTTGGTGGCGCAAATGCAGTGGCTGGGCCTGAGCCAATGCGACCTCCCCCAAACAAATTTTTGGTGGTGCAGTTTGGGCTGTTCCTGAGCCTGTGCAACATCCCTAAAACTGGGTAGCAAGTCTTGATGGTGCAATTAAATTGAATAACGGGTAGCAAATCTTTTCATGGTGCGAAGTGGCTGTGGCTGAGCCCATGCAACCCCCCCAGATAACAGCACGGGCACAGCACTCCCCTAACACCCTCTGCTCTGCTGCAGGTTGTTACCAACAGGGATACCCAGGAAACCTTGCTCTGCATTGCCTTCGTTTTCGAGGTGTCCACCAGCGAGCACGGCGCCCAGCACCACGTGTACAAGTTGGTCAAGGACTAGGGGCCCTTGGGGACAGGCAGGGGCACGAGGGGCGTGCAGGGGAGGGAGGGGGCCGTGCAGAAATGCCACCCGTGCCTGTTGCCTCGTGAGAAGTCATTTGAAGACAGGAGGAAGAAGGAGGAGGAAGAAAAACCAATAGCCAAAAATGACTGACTTGTGATCGCAGATGTTTTCTACTTAGGAACAGTTTCTTTTTCTTTTTTTNAAAAAAAAAAAAAAAAGGAAGAAAAAAGAAAAAGACAAGAAGAATAGGAAAGGAAGTGTAGGGAGAAAGGAAACCCACATCTGGCACTGGAGAGGGAGAGAGCAGCCCTCAGTGTTACTGATGAAGGCCAGGATCCCCCGTGCCAGCAGCAGCACAGCAGGATGCTGGAGCAGAGGACGACCCCTCCTTCCACCCCCAGCCTCGCTCAGAAGTGGCCCCAGTCCTGAGTGGAGAGGAGGGCAGCGAGCACTGACGGTCAGGAGGATGCAGCACCGTGCCAGGTCTGAAACTGATGGGCACAGCAGCGACAGCAGCCTTGGCACCGCGTGGCACGGCCCAGGGAGGACGTGGGGATGGACGTGCAGGGCAGGGCAGAGTGGAGGAGGGGGACACTGCCACCCCCCAGGGATGCTCCTTCTCCACGCCCAGCTGGGGCACTGGGAACAGTGGCAGTGAGGGCATGAGGGCATTGACAATGCAAACCATGGGGGTTTATGGCTCCTTTTTTACCCTTTTTTTTTATCAGCTATTTATTGACTTCACAATTCTTTTTGGTTTTAACTTAAATTTTTTTATATATTGTTATGCTATTTATTTTCTTTTTTTTTTTTTTTTTTTTAATGAAAACTAAATTTTTTTTTAATACTTTTTAAAAAGATACCATGCTTGTAATCAGGCTGATGGCCCTCTGCAGTGCCCAGGTGCTCCCTTCCCACCCTGCACGGGAAGTGTCTTGTTTAGGGAAAGGTTTGGGATGCCTCCATCTCTGGCTGGGTTTTGTGGGGGATTCCTTGAGCTGTGTATTTTCAGGAATTGCACTTGGGGGGTGGCCCAGGCTCAGAGTCCCCACTGTGGTCGCTTGCTGAGGAGTCATGAGTAGAGAGCAGTGAGGGCAGATTGCTTGATTTATTCGGTATATGTACATTTTCCTTGTTCCAGATTTTGTTTTTGTTGGTTTTTTTTTTCTTTGTTCCTTCACCTTTTTTTGCCTTTTTTTCTGCAATGACTGTTCCAAACTGCTCCATCCGCTCTCCTGCATCCTGTGGGAAGTGGCCAGGGAGGGGAAAAATAAATTGAGCAATGCAGGGCCAAGCTGTCAGTGGGCAGAGTTTGGGACAGAAAGGACAGAGACAGAGAGGGGACAGAGAACAGGAGGGATGCCAGGATAAGGGACTGGGTCAGCTTGGAGGTATTTTTGTGGCTGCAGCCCAAAGTAAGCCAAGGCAGAGTGCCCAGTCTTGAGGCTGCAACTGCAAGGGCAGAGTCTGGGGAAAGCAACCCCAGGGTGCAGGAGGGTCACAGAGGGGACAGAGGTGGCGGGGAGCAGGGTGGCAGGGGCACAGAGCCCGAGGTGGCCAGGTCTGGATGGATTTCTCATGTTGGCAGGGAAGTGAAGGCAGTGGGAAGGAGAGCAGGAGTGTTTTGAGGGGCACTGCAGCTACTTTGGGAGGGGCACAGGGCAGGTTTAGGCTCAGTGCTGCCAGTGCAAGGAGCAGAAATAGCCCCAGAGCTCAGGAAAGCGCCTTGGCTGCCACCTTGATGCCACATGTGCTGTGAGGCATGGCGACTTCAACATCTTGCTGCTGGGAAAAGCCACCCATCCCTGTGGGATGGGGCAGAGCCATCCCAGCCCCGTGCCAGGCCAAGGGCTCAGTGGTGGGGCTGGACTGAGGTGGCTGCTGTGAGCAGGGCAGACGGAGCAGAAGGAGAAAGAGAGAGGGAAAAATCCAAGGCCAGGCACTGGCAAGCCATGCCAGGGCTGTGCTGGGGCTCTTTGGCCAAGTTCTCATATGTAGCATGTTTGTTTGTCATTTTGTAGGTTTTTGGTGTTTTTTTTGTTTGTTTTTTTTTTTTCTCTGTTTCACTCACTGATCTAAAACTCTGGGAATGAAAACTCAAAACTCCCCCACCATAAAACACAGACGTGCCCCGCTCCCAGCCCCAGTGGGGACGAAGCTCTTTGTTAACTGGACCGGTTTGTGCCTCCATCCCTCCCTCCCTCCTGCCTGCACCGAGCCCAGGGCTCACACTGCACCCCACGCACACAGACTGGTGCCCCCAGCAGCCCTGGCTGGGGTTTAGTCATGATCCCAGAGACACTTTCTCAACTCCCCCAGCCCCTCCGTTCGCCTCCAGTGTATTTATGAATTTCACATGAAGTACTGTTTTATTTTTTTAAAGACTTTGTAAAGCTTACCAGGGTTACAATCACCATTTTTAGAGCTGCGTCAATCCACAATGTTAAAAATCCATTTTTTTATGTATTATATTTTTTGTGTATTTTTTTTTAATCCAGCTGTGATGGGTTGTATCATATATTTGTTGTGTTTACTGTATCTGTCCAACTTCAAAGAGAGGAGACTGTGGAGCTCCGGTAAAACTACGGTCTGCTGAAAAAAAACCATTAAAATTATTTGTTCATGGGTTGGCTCAAGCAGTTCTGAAGTTCCTATTTTATTTCTTGGTATTTTCTTCGACAGCCAGGACTACGAAAGCTGCCACGTCCCATGTAACCCCTTGGCTGGGTAACGCTTCTCCTGGGACCCCAATTCTGGGTACCAGGATGTGTTTTGCCCTAGTTTGCATCACTGCTGCAGGGTTTGCTTGGGAAAAGTTGGGTTGGCCATAGACGTTTCCCTGTGCCTTCCCGCAGCATCCCTGCGCTCAGGATCACCTTTTAGGGGGAGCTGCTCTGCCCCACCACTCACCAGCCCCCCTCCAAGCGCTGCTCGCGGCTGTTCGCTGCTCCCATCCTTCACCCAGGGACACACGCGACGTGTTTCACCCCCGAGCCCCGCCATCCCTCCGCACCCCGGCGCGCCCAGCACACCCTGCCCGGCCTCCTCCACCCTTCCCGGCCCCATTCACCCCCCCGGCCCCGGTGCCGGTCCTGCCCCTTCCGCCCCGCTCCGCTGCCTGCCGGGACGCGTAGTCCCGCGGCCCCGCCGCTCCCGGCCCGCTGCAGGTCCGCGCTCGGCCCCGCCGCCCGCCCCGCTCCTCCCGGCCCCGCTCCGCCTGTTGCTCCGCTCGTCCTGCGGCTCCCGTCCTTCCACCGCCCCGCTCGTCCTGCGGCTCCGATGCTCTGCGGCTCCGCTCCTCCGATCCTCGCATTGCTCCGCTCCTCCGATCCTCGCATTGTTCCGCTCCTCCGATCCTCTGCGGCTCCGCTCCTCCGATCCTCGCATTGTTCCGCTCCTCCGATCCTCGCATTGCTCCGCTCCTCCGATCCTCGCATTGCTCCGCTCCTCCGATCCTCGCATTGTTCCGCTCCTCCGCTAACCCGCTCGTCCTGCGGCTCCGCTCCTCCCGGCCCCGCTCCGCCTGTTGCTCCGATCCTCCCACTGCCCCGCTCCTCCGCTTACCCCGCCGCCGCCCCGCTCGTCCCGCGGCTCCGCTCTTCCTC